TATTTTTTCAGAGAACACTAATTAAGAAATGTTATTTGTGTACTTAAAATTAAAAAGTAATCATTATTTTGGGGCATATGGATACCATGCAGAAGGTAGTTAAACTTCGAAAGGTGAATGTGCATGGAATCTGAAGAAAGACTGATCCAATGTGATGGGAAATTCCAGTGAATACAAGTAGGGATTAAATCGTATGTTGTATTCCAGTCATAGCAAGGAGCTATTTGCTGCTAAGGCTGGGGAGACATAGGACAAAGTGATATCGGAAAGACTTGAAAGATAAGTCATGGCCATAACACAAAGATCATTGTGTGTCTGATGAACTATGATAACATTGGAAGGGGTGAAATAGTTTAAGCAGAAGAATGTTGCAAGTACATGCTTAACTCTTTACTTTCATACACAGGGGCTATCATTGCAATGCTTTTATATAGGTGATAAATTAGCAAATGTTTTTCTTTACAACATAATTCATGAAACCGTAGGGCTATTACTTTAAGCCTTCCTCTCTCAGATGCTCGCGTATCTTAATAGAAAAACAAAAACGAGAGATTCCAGGCATCCAGGTATTTCACAGAACATCAGTGCTGTTTATCAAATCAGCATTTGTCATCTGAGATCTGGGGCGATGTGTTTTCCTTGTGCATGTCTAAAATGTTATTGTAGGAAAGAGACAAGAAAAAAAAAACTCTAGTAGAATTGTGAAGCTATTAAACCGTACATCAGAGGGAAACAATGATTTTAATTAATAAATGTGCTTTTTCTTGACTTCTGAGCTTATGCCTTAATCGTGAAGTCCTTCTTCTCATCCAAGCCTGAAACAACAGACAGTACTGCATGTCTGTTGTCAAGTCCTTAGCTCTGGCCGCTGGCATAGCAAATGCCATTTGACACTAATGGCACTTGGCTCTCACAAAGGCACCCAGCCTGCCTGACCAGATGCGTATTTCCATTGAATACTTTATATTGCTGGTGTGAAGAGCAATTTTACATTTTTCATCCCTCTGCTGTTAGTATAAGACAACCCTCCTTACTGCTTGGACAATTACGCTGCACCTGAGACTTTGATTAGTTCCCTCAACTGGCCATTCGGTATGAACAGTCCTATACCATCTTATACCTCGGCTCCATGACGGATAGTACTGAGTACCCACACTGAGGAAATAAGGGTGTGAAAGAAGTCTCTTGGACCTGTGGAAAATGCATCTAAACAATATAAATATGCAATGTTTTACTGAGCCCAGACAAAGAGGAACACCCCTTACGACACTCTGAGCCTCCCATTCCCTGTATGCACTCAACTGCTCTGTCTGTCAAGACCTACGTGCTCTCTGGTGTTGGTAGACTGGGCCGTGGTGATACTTTAAAAGGCATTTTCCTGTATTTTAAATCCATATATATTTGATTAACATTTTATCAGTAAATACCTAGAGCATTATAGCACGTTAACTTTGGAGAGATGTTGCAAGGGCCATTGGATGCATTACAGAAATCCCTGTTTTGATATAGTAAGTGAATGGTCAGTTATGGCACATTGATCTCTGGAAAGTTTCTCAAGAAAAATGTGCAAGTTATTTACATTAGTGCTGTTTTAATGATGCTGCCCAAATAAAAGCATTCATTTTGGAGCAATGAGGTGAAATAAACTTTTAAAGGAAAAGCCTCTCTCTTTTTTTTTTTTTTTTTGCCTTGATAAATACGAATAAGTCATGGGTGGTTAGAGATGGAGTGAGTGGAGTAATCAACTTGGGCTGCCTTTTGACTTGTGTGGGTAGATACTGAGGTAGAGACTTAGGAAATGTTTAGGTGCATGAACCAGCAACCATTGGGATTTTGTTCCATCCTAAATATCTGTATGGCACTGGACGAGTGACTTATACCTCTGTACCTCCGGTTTTATTTTTCCTTTAAGTAGAGATCATTAACAACAATATGGTATCATTGCAGTAGCTTCAGGATTATCAAATACAATATAAGATTCCAAATCACATTTCAATTTCGGATAAAACAGCAGATTTATTAGAATGATTATGTTCCAGGGTGTTGTACGAGAGCTGCATGGTTTTAAAAAATAGTATGTCTGAAATCCAATGTTACTCTCTGTCTCCTATTTACTTGCTAAATTTGGCATTCTATAAAGATTAGACAACACAAAACCTGACCAATTTCTTAAGAAAAAATGCTAGAAATACAGCAACAGTTGTTTTAGTTGATGTTTTTATCATTTTCTAGTTACCTATCTATTAATTTCAGGAATAAGTTTTTTATCTATATTCATGACTTCCATAAGGCCACACTGCTGTTTTATTATGGTTTTATAAATTATTCTAAACTTAGAATAAAGTATCAGACAATTTTTTTTTTTTTTTGGTACCGGGGATCGAACTTGGGTCCTGCTTTCAAGGCGGGTGGCGGAACCGCTGAGCTAAATCCCCGGCCCAAGACAATTTTCTATATACTCAGTGCTCTTTCTCGTCCAGTAATCTGTATGAGTCCAGAAAAAAATCATGTGCATTTCGATGTCAAAGAGAATTGAACAGAACATTGAATGAGCGCAAGCTGTACCAATGCACTCTAAAAAAGTGTTTTAAAGCCTAATGACTATTGCTTTATCTGCTTTTCAACAGGTTATTGCCTGGCATTATTCTTCCCATTGTCATTATTTCTTATTTATTAGTATGAGCAAACAAAACTTGATTACATGTAATGGCCCAGAGGCGATTATATCCCATTTCCTCATTTTAGAAGATTATCCTCAATTCCAATGCTTCGCTTCTTCCAGCATTATTACATCTAGTAGGCTAATTATATGGAAGTGGCACTCTGCTGTAATAATAGGATCTCCTTTTCGTCATTAAAAGGACAAACTAGGAGCCAGTGTCAGGAAGTAAAACCTTTTGAATATGGATTCCATACATCAAAATCTGACAAAGATATTGATTATTAGAAAGAGAAAAAATGGAGCATAAGGAATGCTCGGCGATGGGGAAGGAAAGGTGTATTCCACATTGTATTCTCCCCCGTCATCTCAAAGGTTGTGAAAAATGGCTTTGGCCCACTTCAAAGGAGCAGTGTTGAGATTTGCCCAAGACACTTCTGTATTTGTTTGTTATGGCAGAAACTAAAGTAATAAGGAATCCTACGTTTGAAGGAAGACAGGGGAGTCTTTGCCTTTGTAGTAATGTGGCAAACTAGCTCCGTTACGCTGCAAATGTCGAGGAGGGAATGTAAGTGAAACGCTCTCTTGTTTTAGGCCTCAGTGTCTAACCCTGCACCCTGCACCCCAGCCCCTGAGCTCTGGATTAGGATTTAATCCAGTGGCTGAAATACATTGAATAGTCCACACTCATCAATTCCCTTACTGTCCCTTTATGCTTACATTATGGACAGGAAATTCATGAAAACCATCATTCTTTAAGTTCAAATTTATAAAATTTAGACCACCCATTGGACATGTATCATACTCTAGACTGTTCACTGAGTATTTATAGATTTTTGTACCACCTTTTTAAAGAAGTACTGAAATTTCATATAGAATTAACATATAAAATTGCTGCCTTCTTTACAGGTATAGGAATTTTAAAGAGCTACTGACTTTGCTATGACTCATAAATATGGGTGATTGTCTAAACAAGATTGACGCTCTGAATTAATTTAATTTCATCAAACCTCAGTTTTGGTCATACATTTCATACAATGAATGCAGAATTTTAAAAAAATAATTTAAATTATCTGAAGTGCTCTGATACTTTTTCATGGTTCATGACTCAGCTCCCTCCAAACCAGGCTGTGGTATTTTAGGATTTTTATAAAGTTTCTCATTCATGATTCCTGTTTCATAAATCCTTCTCTAAAGTAGGCCATAGAAACCAAAATTTCTTTTTCTCAAGGAGGGTTATAAAAGCTGCAATCTTTCTGAGCCCTTTTGTTACAGAGCCTGCTATAAAAAACTTTTCTGAATAGCACTTGTTTGGTAGTATATTATAAGACCTTCTAAATTCTAGAGGTAGACCTACTCCACAGCCTAGTGGGAGGACAGCTGCTACATAGAGATCCAAGCAGAATATGAGTAGATAGGACTTCTGGCATGTCCACATACTCTAATAACACTACATAATCTCCCGTTTGTCCAATCACCTTCTTATGGTTTTTGTTGTTGGCATTTTGTTTTGGTGAGTTTTTTTGTTTTGCTTTGTTTTTTGTTTGTTTGTTTGTTTTTGGTCCTGGGACTCAAACTCAGAGCCTCACACTTGCCAGGCAGGCACTGTGCTTCTGAGCTCGGTCTGCAGCCCACACTCACCTTTCTGCACACTCAGCAATGCTTCATTCCTGTCCGCACTTCATCTGTTCATTACAGGGACACAATCCTGCCTCTATAATGAAACCCACAAGGACAGAATTCAGAGGCCTTTTGAGGCAGCCCATCTCAGAGATGCCCAGACTGGTGCACCCAAAGAGGACATAGAATCTCCCTGTCACTTTTTACATGGCTTGACTTATACATCTCTTTATGTTTGTTCTTCTCAATATCCGTTATAGCAGATCAGTAAAAACGAGTGGATTCTTTAAATTTATGATTAGCTCTAGAAAAATAATTGAATCTGCAGAAGACATTCTGAGAATTCTCATTTAGAGCTGGGCAGTCAGAAGCCCAGGTGAAATAAGCTGGTCTTTCTACTGGTACCTACAATGTCTGAGGTTAATTACTGGGGAGATTTTCCCTCGAACTGTTGGGTCTGAAATTATCCCCAGGTGCATACTGTGAGCAGTGCATTGGGTGGGAGGACATTTGGCTGGTGTCCCCTACTGCAGAATAACTTCCTTGATTGTGGGAAAATATCTCTGCTGTCTTGAAGTCACAAAAGTATTCCGTTGATCACGGTGGAGGGACAATAAAAGAAAACAGCCAATCCATTCTTCCCAAAAGAAGACAAAGCCATCAAATAAATTTAAATGTAGACAGATACATACATGAGATTATTTCTGCAGAAAAAGTGGGCTTGATTTTTGTTTGAATTGAAGAATGTTATCCTTTGGCTGGTTTTATTGATAATGTTTTCTCTGTGATATTGACTTTTTTGTTTTCCTTAAATAAAATATTATGAGTCAGGCACAATCTCCATACCACTCAGTTCTAAAACTATAGGAAATGAAAATAAGAAAAGATTATAATCAAGCAAGCAGCAACTAATATATATTAATAATTTGAATATACATTTTCATGTATGCAGAAGGCTGAATTTCTTATTTTTAAAACTATTTATTTTCAGAAATGTGACATTGTTTCATCAATGACTGATAAAAGTGATCATATTCTAGTTCTCAAAATGTTTTATTGAGGGAAGCTTTCTAGAGACAGCAATTAGATGCCTAAGTATCCAAAAGGGCTTCCCCATTTCCTATAATGCTAATAAAAAGCATGTTATTTACCTCCTACAGCTGATTCTATCATCACTGCTGCTGCTACCTCATCCCCTCAAATCGAAGAGTGTGAAATCTGCCTCTCTCTTCACAGGAAAATTGAACCACTGAAAGATGCATTAGTGGAAGAAAGGGAAAACTAGCAAATCTTCCAAGGGAGTTGTTTTTATTTCTTCAAAACCAGGATTAAATTCAATGAAGGAATGTTAAGACAAAGATGTTATAAAAATGGACAGAAATCAATAATCCTTAACAACGAAGGAAACAAACATTAAATGTTCCCCCCATACGCAAACTCACAAAGAATAAAGCATTACTGTTTGACTAAGGATGGGCAAATCTTACCATTTTCGTGAGGTTTCTACATTCTACAGAGAATAGATCACATTACCTTTAGGTGGCATCTCACGTCTGATTGAGCTGGTGACTGTTGTACCAGAGGACTTCATTAGGGCTTCTCTCTTCTGTTAAGTCCACATCTGCCTTTCTGGTTTATTTTTCCTTGCACTGTTAATTAATTGTAGCTCTAAGGGAATTGTAGGAAATGATGCAGGCTTTTGCATGGAATGCCTTTGTCCTTTATTTGTTTGTCACTATTATGTTTGGCATATGTCAATGGGGAGAAAAGCTAAGAACCTATTTACCTGTGAATAACTTCATTCTCACTAAAGTACTGAAGTTATCTCACTCCTTTTTTTTCCTTAACTCTTTTTCGTCTCTTCCATTTTATCATTTAAATCATTGATTTTGTGGGGGAGGATCTTGAACAGTAATTGTACCTGAATAAAACAGAATCAGGAAAAACTTAATATCTAAAATAGTCTTTACATACTTGATTCTATTTATTGTTTCTTCCAGAAACTAAACAACATTAATAATATTCCATTCTATTTAGTGATTGAAAGAGAAAATGAGATACCAGTGCATAAATTAAAAAGGAAGTACATATTATTTGTATCTTATTATACATTTTCTTTAACTTTTCTTCTGACTAGATTGTTAGAATGTAATAAATTTTACATGTAAGATAACTTGTGGGATCTGGGTAGATTGGTTTTGTGAAGTTATTGTAGGTCAGTGGGCCCCTGGGTGGTGAAGAAAGCACCGTTCCCCTCTGCAATAAGCCCCCACTCAACACACTTTCGTAGCTCTTGGAAAGTGTCAGGGACAAGTGGCCACCCACCTTTCCCGTGGGCAGCAGCCCTCACTCACCCCCACCTGCGTATCCCTTCACCCTCTGCCTTTCCATGGTGCTTCTGCATCCCGTTGCCATAGAAATGGAAAATCTTTGAATGTCTAGAATGCTGTCTCCATAGAGTCACAAAACAGTAAATGGACTCCATGGCTTTGTCCTTTGTTTCACGCAGCAAATCTTTAGAAAACCAAGCGTATGAAGAGAGAGACAGAGAGAGAGAGAAAGAGAGAGAGAGAGAGAGAGAGGGAGAGAGAGAGAGAGAGAGAGAGAGAGAGAGAGAGAGAGAGAGGGAGAGAGAGGGAGAGAGAGGGAGAGAGAGCTATTTTACACAAAAATCTATACGATATTTTTGTCTATTTTATTGTCTATGCTATTAATTCTAACTACTTCTTTGTTCTTTTTTTGTGATGTAATTTGACAAACGACGTTTTTCAGTGTTTTTTACACTAACTTCAAAATTGATTTATTTTTCTAAAAATATATACTTAGAAAACATGCTGTATCAATATTCAGATGCAAGTGAATGATACTTGCTCCCACATCAAGGAATCCTTTGAATCAGGTGACATTTGCAGCTGCTTACTGCTCTAGGACTTGATGGTATTAGCTAATTTTCTGATTTGGTTTTCTAGCAGTTGTATTTCAGCAGCAACTAGTGATTATCATTTAAGTCTCTAGACAATGTGCTGGGTTTAGAGTTGAGAAATCTTGTGTGTAAAGCAAAAATTACCGTACATTTAGAAGCATAATCTCAGAGTGCCACCACATACATTAATAAGCAATGAAGCAGGTGATGATAAGCATAGAAATATGTAAGTGTAACTGTTGTTCACGCCCAAAATTTGTCTTATACTCATCTCTGTCTCCTTGTGTTTTCCACAATGAATCAATCAAAAACAGACTACACACATGAGAGAGGTCTCCTCTGGTTATAATGGAGCTGAAAAACTTCCATTGCCAATGGGGTGGCAGTGGGTGTAATTCTTCATGCAAATCATCGTTATGTGTATATGACACTGGTGCTACAGACTTACAGTATGAGTCAAATAAATCTACAGCTCATGAATTATTCACAGTAAAGAATCATTAGATAATCATTAATGACCATATTGCTTATTCAGAGTGTTTATTGCAGTATACATATATCATTATTTTAGAGATTAGTCCTTTTAAATATGGAAAAAATAATAATGTGAAATGGCCTTAATCAGGGTGCTTGGGAGGGCTCCACAAGAAAGCATGGTTATGAGAGATGACAGCTCCTGGCATGTTATTGTTCCCCAAGGCCTTCCAGGGAACGCGATGTGGGGGTAAAGACAGTGACCCTGATGGTCCCCATATTTGGTAGACCTAGGGAGATCGGTGTGTTTGTGCTTTAGATTTTCAGATGGCTCTGGGGATCAAATCCCTAAAAAGAGTTTAAAATTGCAAAAGATGAGAATATAAAGAATCTTATATAACATGGATATAAAGAAAAATATTTTGTAAGTATACACTATATTTTTAAATTGTTAGAATGAAATATATAAAAGTTACAAATTAAACCGTAAAATAAAAACTAAGTTGAGGTACCTTAAGTTCATTTTGCTACTGAGGATTTACTTGAGCACAGAGGTACAGTGTCTACCATTTGAAAAGAGCATGCGGCCGTGCTCTAAACTTTCCCACTCCTCGTCATGCATTCCTGAGTTACACAGAGTAGCTTAGAGTTCTACAAGCCCGACCCAGGGTGAGTGTCCTAGATGGTTTTACCACTTCATCTTTTGTACCACATTTCGTGGCACCCTGCCTATGTTTAGATAGACGAATGCCACTGTGCTGCCGTAGCCTAGAGTGTCGGTACAGATTTCATGCTATACGGTTTTGCAGCCTAGGAGCAATACACTATCCATGATAGCCTACTTTTATAGGAGGTTATACGCTCCAGTTTTTTGTGCCTACGTGGTATTATGTTGTCATACGATGAAACTGCCTGACAAGAGACTTACTCATTTCTCAGAATGTAAGTCTGTTAAGTGACACATGACCTCATGCAGAGGTGTATATGCACGTGTGTGCATACTTGTACACATGGAAGATTTAGCCAAGGCATGACAGGACATTCATCATAGGGAATTTGTACCTGTACATGATATATTTTAATCCCTTTTTTCATTTCCCTCCCTTCCCTTCAATCCTTTCACTCTCCTTTCATAAAACTTTGTTTCTATGGCCTACTTTATACTCGTGTGTGTGTGTGTGTGTGTGTGTGTGTGTGTATATAATGCATAAATATATAAATATATTGTATTTGTTCTTTCCCTTCCCTTTCCCCTCTGCTTTGTTCCCTTTCTCTTGATGTGTTTTAAAGAAATTAAGATTCAAAATGATTTATCAAATATTCAACAAACAAATAGTAACCATGCTAGCATTTACTGATTTATCACTTAGTATTTATTAAGCATTTATTACGTGGCACTCCATTACTCACTGAATACACCAATAGATAAAACAGACTAACATCTCTGTCCTCATAGTACATAGATTGTAGTAAGGAGTCATAAACAGTGAACATAAAAATAAGTTAAAAATATATATCAGATAAATACTGTGTGAAACAAAAGAATAGAGTAAATGAATGAGCAATTCTTGGCTTGGATTTCTTCTGAAATGTATTTTTTCCACTCTTCCTAGTAATTACAGTGGGAGGAAAATGATCAAGAGACAAACTAATATGGTCAGTGCTATAAAATACAGCTAGCAAAATACTGTTACAGATATAATCAGCAGTGTTTTAGCCAGAGGATCTTAATAGCTTCCGAATAATTAAAAAGAGAAAAAAAATATATATGATGTTAACTTTCTGGTAATATGAAACTATTATCATCATAACAAGCATTCACCTAGAGACACAAAATTGCAGGACCAAAATAAAGGTAAATCTAGAGAATGAAAATTTCAACCTAGACTAGGAAAAAAATCAATTCTGACAGAACAAGAAGAAAAATGATTTTCTTAAAAAATAGTCTGGAGTGTAGCACAGCGGTAGTGCACTCATCTTGTATGTGTGAGGCCCTGGATTTCATCTTCACCATAAAAGAAGGAAGAAAGGAAGGGAACGAGGGAGCAGGAGAGGAGTCAACTAGTGGCAATTTTCATTTCTCCCAGAGAATAGGAAGTCTACTGGAGCCAGCGCAGAAGCTAAAAAAGTATGAACTCATCACAGCACATTTGTGGTTTCTAACATTCATATGTATGTTTAACTTTGCTAATGGTCTACAAGTTGTATGTAATTCTCATTATCTAAATTGGGATTGGCTGTTTCCAGTTAGTTCACTTGCACATACAAAGACTTTAGCTGAGGAAGCTTTGGATGACCAGAAATGCTGCTGCTTCAGGACCCCAACATCTGGAGAACTCCCCGATGAACCCGCACGCAGAGGTGGGAAAGAAGCATTACACAAAGCTTTTCGGATTGGTAATGCAAAAAAACATGCTCTCCGTTATTTTTGCCTATTTATTTTCTTAAAAAAAAATATGCTCAATTTGCAATGAAGCTCTATGCTTAGACTTCAGTTTTATCATCTCTAAAATAGGGAGAGTAATAAAAACTCAAAATATGATGTCCGTTTAATATTTGTCTTCAATAATGAGTCCTTACTTGAAGGATAAATGATATAATTACTTATAAGGAGAAACATATTTCAAGTGGGTTTAGCTTAGAAATTATGCTTTTCATTGGAATTAAATGGGTATTGATTAATTTCCCTTTTCTGTATTGAAGCTCTGCCAAGATGTAAACACAAGAAACGTTTTTAAAATTTATATATTTAGCAAGGATGTAAGTGTTTAATAGCACCTAAAATGTGCGCAACTTGAACTATGGCAGAACTATCCTCAAGAAACTTGCAGGCTGCTAGATGGTTACCCATTCGTCTGTGTCATTTGGCAGGCAAAATTTCCACGACTCCTAAAGGAAGCAACACTTCTTATACATCTGGTGTATTCTTTTCACACTGTATTATAACACTTCTGACTATACTCACAGAAGCAATAATAGAGTTATATAGCACTTGTCTTGAGGATAAATAGCTTCAATTATTTTATTCTGAGAAACAATGAGAGTCAGTCTGATGATATTAGGGCAGTTTCAAAAAACAACATCATTTTCGCTCTTCAGACTATTTCACTGTCATAGAGGCATTTCAAAATACAATTTTACTAATATAGTCTTAAAGATTTCATTTTTTTTCTTTTTTTAAGAGTATGTGGTCATTTTTGTATTTCGCTTGTGTGATGAATGCCCTATAATGTGAGAGATCATTTCTTCCAAAGAGAACCTGCATGTGTACAGAGTGAATTTTTTGTATAATAATATTTTGAGTGTGTCAGCATTCAGTAATCAAACATTTTATATGGATACCCTATCTAAAATGTTTCCTCCAATGATGCTAAAAATCAACAGGGACACAATAAACATATTTCTGTATCTTTTGTTCATAAAAAAACAACAAAAGGGTAGGGTTTAAAAGGTAGAAGATGGATGATAAAAGGTTTTAAATGGCTTTTGTAGTCCCTGTCTAAAAAGCAACAATGAACTGAGGCACTGTAATATGGCAGTGTGAATTTTAAAGCTTTTACATTGCAGTGTGAACTAGGTGATGTGAATATTTGTTTATTTTGATATTCATTCTTGTGGCAGGGAATGCTGGTATTTTCAGATCACCCCTGCTGACAGAGATGAGTAGATATCTGAAAGTTAAAAAAAAAAAAAGACTACAAATGCACTCCTAAGAGTATCAATATAATTTGCATAGATCATTTGGCCTGAGTTAGAATGAACCTATTTTTATTTTTTATCCACTGACCAATATGTCCTAATGTTTGCCTCCATTTAACTGGGCTTAGGAAGTCTTCTACCTAACTGTAGGATTCTGACTTTGCTCTTGTCGCAGTCAATACTTTCTCTGTCCCTTTCAGATCGGAAATGTTTTTAAAAGCTTTTTGCTATTTATTTAATTTTGGGGGAGTAAGGCCTGCTAACAAACACAAGATCTGTGATCCCCATAACCAGCACTTAGCTC